AAGGGGCAGACACCGAACTTCGACACATTCCCAAAGCTAAGGGATCACTGGGACGAGTTCGTTGCATATAAGACAGGTGAACAAGGGCAGGCGATGATGGAAAGAAACAAAGAAAATGCCGCCAAGAAGAAGTACCATCACCACTTGGGGTCAGGAGGCTATAGCGTCGCGATGCCGAAGTGGGAGCAGATGGAGGCTAGCTTGATTGAGAGGGGTATCGAACCGGCAACAGCCAATTGGCCGGAACGATCGAAGTTCTGGTACTATGCTCACGGTGGAACGCTCAACCCAGCTGATGGCTCACTGGTCTTCGGCGATCAGATACGAGAGGCTGCGCGACGACTAACAGATGCAGTGGAAGCCTCCTCTCAGGGCACGTTCCGACCAGACAGAGATAGGGACGAGCTGACACTCGCCCTGCAGACTCCAGAGCATCCAGGACGAACACGAGAGAAAGGGGTGATTCCTTGGAAGATTGGTTTCAAGGAGGACATCCACACGTACAGGAGTCGGATGAGGAGCAAGAGAGATACCGAGGCGAAGATTGCAGACCTAGAGTTCCGGGTATCGAGCTACGAACTCAACATGCAAGAGGAGGTGGCAAGGAAGGTTGATGAACGCATGGCCGCACATCGGTCCCATGATCCCCAGCCGACCATTCCTCCTGCAATGGTGAGCCCGTCAGGAAACCGTAGCAGCTGCGCCTCAACGGGGCAGGTAGGATCACAGAGCATGGACGCCATGCAAACACAGGACGAATCGACCTGTCCCGTTGATGACATCACTCAGCGGACACCATGTGAGCTGCATATTCCTTTCAAGAACTTATCAATAAAGGTAAGATTTAGCCATTCCGCTAGTTGTTGCTTATATATGTTGATTACTAATAAATAATCTCTCACAACATGAAGGTGGCGTCGGGCATGGCCATCCCAACGGACCCTTCAGGTACTTACCACTGCAGGCCGATTCCAGCAGGATACTCGAAGGTCGAAGTTGAGTTGGTCGAAGGCGCGTACGAGGACCTCGAGCTGGATTACCCTGGAGGAGACGGTGAGACGCATCTACGAGACACAAGCCATGCCATTATTCTATGGCGCAGGTGGTACATCATCCTCCCTGGGCGACAAGCGGCGTCTCGTGCACCATCTCCTCCGGCTCCGCCATCTCCTCCTCAGGATCCTGCACCGTCTCCTCCTCATGCTCCGCCAGCACCGTCTCCACCTCAGGCTCCAGCATCGACTCCTCCTCAGGATCCTGCACCGACTCCTCCTCGTGCTCCTACACCTACTCCCCCGCAAGCTCCTCTTCCGGCACCTTCAAAGTCAAGGGCCCCCCCAGCTCCACCGCCTACCCACACAAGGGCAACGAAGAAGGCGAAAGTTGACGCTGCCAAGAACAAGGACCCGGGGTACGATTGCACGCAAGAGGAGCTTGACGCTTACGTTGCATCAGAAGTCAAGAGACAATTCAAGCCTCGAAGTCCAGAAAAGAAGATTCCTATAGACCCCAGTGTCAGGAACTTCTTCAGGGGTATGTCTGCATCTGTCAAGGAGGCCATCAAGCTATCGGACTATGAGCGAACGCTGAAGAAAGCATCTTCTGGAAAGTCCAAACCAGTCCCTCAGCTTGGAGAGCAACCAAACCAGGAGATCGAGCCGTTGGTGACCGGTAAAGAAATGACGATAGAACAATTTATTACTGACACCGGTCTAACTACGGATCAATTGCTAGGAGTCGCACCAATCGAAAAGGCGGAAGTGAAATACATGTACGAACTCGGTAAACCGCTTGTCAAGCCTGAGCTGCTGCAGTCCCTACCCACACAAATGTACAAGTTCCATCAGCTGTACATGGAGATGAGCGCCACCGGTAGAGAGATGATCGGAGCGAGGATCAGGGACACGGACTTCTTGCAAGGAGATGACATTCTCTGGATCAATTTCAGGGGAATCTACGAACTATACCAGCTGGACGCCCTCGACGTCTCTATTATGAGTTGCTGGATTTTGTAAGTATATCGTTCAGTTAGATTTCTTACTATACGTCTCCTTTAATTAATTAGGTCCTTGTATATAAGTAGACTATAGAAAATAATATACTCCCTTTTATCGTTGTAGAATGGAGATTCAAAGGGCCCGACGGCGGAGGGTTTTCGATACTGGATTCATCGACCCTCGAAAAGTAAACGTCGCAATGCTCGACCAATATCCACAAGAAACAGAGGACAATCTCGTCCATCTCCTGAAGGCGCAGCATTACAAGACGTTCATACTGTTGCCATACAACACAGAGTTAGTTTAATTTTACTGTCTTCCTACATACCAAATTTCATTCCCGTATGAACTTGCTAAGTGTTTCATATGTAATGCATCCCACGCACATTGCAGATTCCACTGGGTGCTTTTACTCTTCGACCTGGAGGCCTGCACCGTCAACGTATATGACTCAATGGATAAAAAAGAGTCTACGTTTGACAAGGTTTTCGAACTTATAGACAGGTACCGTCATAAGTTCCTTTGTTAATTAAGAAAATCTTGTTATGTTAATTGCTACTACGAATCATAGCTTTAAACTCCATGTAGGGCTTGGTATCGGTTCCCTCATTTGGTCCGCGGCAAATGGACAGAAAGACTTAGGCGGAAGTTCAAATTTCCTGTGAGTACACATGCTCTACATTTATATTTCTCCGATTCAAATACATACAAGTGTATATTAATTAGATCTCTCGTTGTTTGTCATTTATTTGTAGTGCGCAAAGCAAAAGCAGGGAACTAACTTGTGCGGCTATTACGTGTGCGAGTATTGCCACTGCCTTGCAGACCAAATCATCACCACAAGAGAGCTCGATGTACGTACAAATAAATTCAAAATTTCATTACGTAGCGATTTCTTGTTTAATTACTAATCAATTTCATACATTCATATAGTTTATTCGCATGAGGGATAACCTGACCACACACAAGGAATTTATCGCGGCGGTTCAAGAACAACTCATGGGATTCATCAACGAAGAAATCCTTAATCCCAAGGGTGAATTCTACTACGACGGAAACACAATTCACCGGTCCTTAGCTTCTGAGCTAGCAGCGAGTACTACTACGTCGAAATCGTAGCTAGCTAGGACATATAATGGATTGTAATTAATACATGACTACATATGTTTCTATATGCATGTGTACACATTTTCTATAATGTAAATATATTTTGGTCATATATATATCTATATACATATGCATTTGCATAACATATATATGTATAAATACATATATATTATGCATGTATATACATATAATATAATATAATATATATATATATATACATATATATATGTATGCATATATATGTATTGAAACATATATATGCATGGTTTATATATATATATATATATATATATATAAACCATGCAGCAACAGGGCCATGCAAAAAAAAAAAAAAAGGTCAGCTCGATCTTTAGTCCCGGTTGGTAACACCAACCGGGACTAAAGATGGCTCAGCCGGCCACGTGGCTGAGCCATCTTTACTCCCGGTTATTTCACCCGGGACTAAAGATAGCGATCTTTAGTCCCGGATTGGTACTCCCGGTTTGGAAACCGGGACTAAAGGGGGGTTACGAACCGGGACTACAAAGGGTTTCTCCACCAGTGTTCTCTTTAGTTATGTCGACGGAACTAGGTTGACTGTGGAACAAGGACTGATCAATCACAGATGGGTGAGGGACATTTGAGATGCACTATCTAACAGGGCGGTAGTGGAAAATTTCTCCCTTAGGGATGAGCTGCAGGGCATGCAAACTCAGTAAGGACTAAGGAGTGTGGAAGATGCAGTATTGTGGAAGCTCACAAACAGCGGCCCAGTTCTCAGTTTCGTCGGCATATAACCTCTTCTTTATGGCAACTGTGAAATGTCAGTATGGTGAGATGATCTGGAAGACCAGAGCTCCAGCTAGAATACGGTTTTTCATGTGGCTGGCTATTAAGTGTCGATGCTTAACGGTGCATAACCTGCTTAAGAGAGGATGGCCTCATGAACCGACCTGCTCGCTATATCATGCTGAATTTGAGGACTGCAACCATCTTTTTACCAAATGCTTCTACACCAATAGAGTGTGGTCCTTGCTACGGGACTGGATAAATTTGTTCTTTCATCCGCCAAACCATGATAACCTTTTGCTAGCGGAGTGGTGGCAGCATGCACGCGCCTTTTTCCGGGTGAGTTACCGGAAGGCGGTTGATACAGTCTTCTTATGGTTTGTTAGTTCATTTGGAAAGAACGGAATGGAAGAGTTTTTTTAGCACAAATTCAAAGTAGCAGAGTAGCTGGTTGGTGATGTGAAGGAAGAAATCTCCATTTGGAAGTCAGCAGGCATTTTTCAAGCGCGCGAGGAGTAGCCTCTCTCTCTTTGTTTAGTTCCTTGTATTGGTTTTTTTAGGGTGTTCAGCCACCCCAAACTCGACAATCTAATGTCGTGAATGAACCATGTAATAAACTCCCTAAATCTTAATAAAATTTGGTCGGCCAATCTTTCGGCCGACCCGGCAAAAAAAAAACTAGCGAAGATGGAAGAGAAATTGAAATTGTGGGGACCTTTTTCGCAACAGTGAGTTGAAGAGGGGAGTATAAAGGCCAGTTATTTGGATTTTCCCCAATTATCAAGGCTTACTATGCAAGTTGGTTTTTATTTCTCTGTTCCCTTTCCCACAGCCCAACTCCCCCCCCCCCCCCCCCCCCCGCCCCCCGCGCAAGATTCATAGTCCACCTCATAATCCTCTCGGGGCCACAAGCATGCTAGGTAGAGACCGATCGTTGAGTGGACCGGTTTTGCAAGTTGACATGTTATATCTAGTATTATGGTTGAGAGGCGTTATAAGACTCCATGTTAAGACGAGGGACCTAAATGAACTTATTCCTATTGGCATCGCTTTGCACTTGGGTCAGAGCGGAATCAGTTTTGGGCTGGACTGGTTACCTAAATGCAGCCCATCTAACACAAACAGATGTAAGTGCTAAGTTTAGTTTAAATTCGATGATCCATGATACAGTAACATGTAACAGCTTCTATAGTTGCATACCACCACAAATATCCGATGATAAACTTCGAACAATGCGGTGTATGTATCATAGGAAGATATATTTACATGTAAACTATAGAGGTTTTGACTTGCCATCTGGAACTTGACTGATAGCAGTGGACCTAGCTACAATGGCAAGCACTTAGAAGAATCAATAAGCCTAGCTAAAAACGCCTACAGCCAGAAGAATCAGAGCAAATATGTACAGTTGAGATTTACATCGTCCTAACGACTCAGCCCAGAGTACAGGCCATCCAACGCTGTGTACAGAAACTTGGCAGCATTTGGTCTCTGCATATCCCCCATGAGAATATCGCTGGTTGTCAGATACGGGTCGCCGTAAAACCGCAGATTTGCGTCCCTTCGGGTTGCAACGAAGTTCCCTTCCAACGAAACACCAATGAATGCACCTGCAGAGTCATCACGAATCAACCACACAAAGAATAGTTATAGCCACACATCCATGCATGGTCATTATGAAACATTAGGAACAAGAACACACAAAGATGCTGGGTTTCTGAAATGGTTCGTTGTATTTCGGAATATTTGAGAAAAAAAAAAGTGGGAAGCAAGGTTGCTTATAAAAAGTTCAGGGTTTTTTAAAATGATCATCAATAAGATGTTGGACTGGTAGAACTTTTGCTTTTATTCCTTCTCTTTAATAAGAGCCTAAGAGGGCCCACCTGCCCTTCTTCCGAAAAAAAAAGAACATCACTAAGATGTTAAGCGCTTGTTAAGATTACGAGTTAACAACACATCATCATTTACTGCATTATATATATAATCATCATTTACTGCATCAGAAAAAAGGTTTCTGCAATCAAGGGAACATAATTTCTTTTTGAAGCCATATCTTCAAAGTCCAGCATATTAATCTCTATATATACCGAAATTTCTGTTCCACCTTAAACTAAATTTCGAGGTTTTTACCTAAATGATTTCCATGGATCTAAATCAGCAAAGCTGTCATATAGAGGACTTCATATCCATGTATTTTCCTATGCATGTGACGCAACATATTTTCTTCCTACGAATTTATACACTCCAATAGAAACAGAGACTGACTTCAATGCAACTAGGGAGGCTTAAGAACTACGATCAGATGGAAAGATTACCTTTGCTGCAGCTATATGTATAACAAACACCTGAGCCTTTATCACCAGCTCTCAAGTCAGCCTCTAGCACTCTACCAACAGGCCCTGCTGCAGCACTTAAACCTGCCCCAACAGAAAAATGCATCTGGCTGCTAAAAGTCCTGACAGCTTCCAGACCACGAAGCACTATGATGAAATCCATTAGCTCAGCACCAACCTGTATGATCAAACATAAGAATACAACATACAAGAGTATAACATGTAAAAAGTAAATATTAGGAAACCTCCTGAATTATGGCTGAAATCATATTAACATATTTTTACTCATCAAGTAAACATAAAACATAATTTCGTTTGTTAATGCCAGTAATCACGTAACATTCACAACAAAAGGAAGCAGTTTCCTCCTGATGTTCATATCCAAAAAAAAACTATTTTTACCTAAAGGTAAATTGAGTGCCACAACAAGCACTTAAATATTACGAGCTCTTGTGCAGGCATGCACACTCTGTACTATTTTCCATCAGGAAATACAAAAAATGTCCATTACATTACTTTTTTACCCAAAGACAAATAATGGGCAATGCATGTGGATAATTTCTACACCACAAGGAAAGCTAGAGCAATTAAGCAAACTGTATTAAGTGTAACAACACAAAAAAAACGCATTTCATAAATTGATGGACAACAAATTGTCCATATCAAAGACAGAGATGAAATTAGCAATGTAGTTAATACCTGTGCTCCCCATCCTAACCCAACTGAAACGATTGCTGATGGTGGTGACCAAGATCCATCTGATCTTCGAGCAACTACTAGGCCAGTTCCAAGTTTGTATGTAAGAAGTGCACCAGCTTTTACAACTGTCAGGATAGCAAGCCCACTTGCTCCACTAAGGACTGCATGAGGAATAGACCTTTCGGGGTTTAGCCTTGCAATCTGCATTAAAATTTGTATGATTCATTAGTAGGGGTATATCCTAAATATTGCAATTAAACATGTATGAGAGTGGCGATTAAATATGTAAGGAGGCGATAAGAAATCAAAATCAGTAACCTCAAACCTGGCTATAGCTCCTCACAGAATTTGCGGCCTTGTAAATCTCATGTTCCATTGTTAATCCAATAGGCAAATTCAACCACCCCCTGGTACTAGTCCAATCCATAACATCATGCTTTGCAGTCTGTGTGGCATTGCTAATAGAATTAATGAATAAGTTCTGCAACGGATCAAGCCTATCATAACAAGCATCACAAACCCTTTGCGGATTCCGCTCACGGAACTTGGCTGGCAACAGACATCTGCCTTTTGAGCATGTCCTACAAAATATCCCTCCACAAAATCGACAATGATGCCTTCCACGAGTAACAACAGTAAAAGAAGCAGCGCATTGCATGCATGAGTTAGCATAACTATCAGGTAACCATTCTGGTGGTTCTGCTTCAATCACAACCCTATACACATTGTAATTCAGAGCTTCTTCGTCAAGCAATGGTGGAGCACTTGGCACATAGACTGAGGCGTGCAAGAATGTTTCTCCATCGCTACCTGACCCTAAGAATGCGACACTAGACTTAGTGTCCTTTGGCGGTTGAATTTCAGAATTTTTGCCGCCACGACTGATGATTGCAATTAAACCACCCAGCAGATTTCTAAGGTTTACCGGCTTATCTGCCTTCAAGGGTGCAGATCCCCAACCATCGTCCGCACAATCATAGCCATAAAAATTGGTTTTGCCACCAAAATCAAATTGCTTGTGCTCAGCCAATTTTGACTCAAAGGAATTGATGATGTTTCCAGCTGTTCCCAGTGCTCCTTCTACATGCTGTGGGAATGACTTTGGATCAAATGAGTTCATCACATCCCCTATCGTGCCCAAAACCTTGGATTGGATCTCATCCTTAAAACTGTTTTCCACTCCCGGTGTAGGCAAAGGGTGATACTTGAAAACCTCTCGCGAGGTCGCCATGGTCATAAATTACTACCACACAAAAGTTACTGAAAGAGTAAAACACGAAAAGAGAAAATAATCAAAATATGCTGGAATACAATTTATCTAAATAACAACCAAATGGTAATAACTACTCATATTCAGAACAAAACAATCTCAGCTGTACACAAAATTTCCACGTATTCTGCGAACAGGGTTGAACCTAACGTGGGCATGGGGATACCTCTGGTTGAACCCACAGTTTTTTTTTTATATATATATATACTTCTATATATTAAGAAAAAGAGAAAAACCTAGGTTCCAGATCTACATGTTATTACAGGCTAAGGCGAAATCGAAAGAAAGAGGATGCGCGTCGGCACGGGAGCTCACCGGAGACGTACGGCACCTACCGCTGCTCCCCTCCCCCCGAGGAAATCGGCGGAGGCGGGCGAAATTAGCGAGGAGGAGAGCGACCTCCTGGAGTTGGAGGCGGAGAAGAGATTGGAGTTGGGCGCAGGGAGGATGCGGGCGGGAGTAGCAGCAGGGACGCCTTGCGGTTGCGGGGCTCGCACCCAGCCGCCGGTGATCGGAGATCGGCGGCGCGCGCGCCGCGAAAATAGCGGCGACGTGGATGGGTGGGTCCCTCCGTCCGTCCACGGGGAGATCGATCGGCCAACGAAGGCGTGCGAAGGCTCGCTTGTTGTTTAAGCCCAACCGAGACTCCGTAACGTAACGCTAAATGATTTATTTATCAATTTAACTTAAACTGAGACAATTTTTAAGCGAACTGCGAGGAGAGGATAACCAATTTGTTAACATAGGATATCCGAATATAGTCTTTTGTTACACACGCTATCTGTGAAAATTACCCATTGCACGCTACACGCTCGTTTTTATGTAGTAATTACTAATATCTTTCCTAGCTACTGTATAATTATTATGGACTGAAATTATTAAAATTTATTACCAGTTAAATTAGAACTTCAACTCCGGACGGACCAAAGCTCTAGCACGTTAGCAGATCCAGGGTTCAAGATAGGGGTGAAAACAGAGCGGATTCGGACGGATAATAGCTATACCATATCCTAAACCATTTTTTTTAAACGGATGCGGATGACGTGCGGATACGGATGCGGAGCGGATTTTTTCGGACGTCGGATTCGGTGCGGACTCAGTTCAAAAACGGATAAAAAGTTGTCGGATGTCAAGTTTGTATTCAATCCATACAACAAGAGAGCGGCAATACAATTAGCCGCAATACGATGGCAAAACAACATATGAACATGATCTCAGTTCTCTAGAAAAAACCAACTAAAACATATCAATAATATAATTTTGCTTAATATAACACATCCATCAAAAATATAATATAAGTGTTCAGTTCAGCAGTTCACTGCATTGCTTAAAATTTAAAAATATAGTGTTCAGTGCAGTAGTTTAGTACTTCACACTCATCAGTACGACAAGCACAAGGCAATGAGGCATACCACAATGCAGGCATACAACACACAGCCACACAACACAGTAGCACACTGCATATAGTAAGCAACACACTAGTTCCATACATCACACTGCATACAGCATACAGCACACAACACATTGCCGGCGGACTGGAAGAAGGAGCGGCGGCGGCGCGGCACACCTATGGCGCCATGTAGCGGCGCGTGTGGGAGCAGGAGAAGGGGCCAAGAGAAGAGTCACGGAGAGAGAGAGAGAGAGAGAGATTTCGGGGAGGATTGGATTAGGTTACACTAGATGGGCTAGATGGGCCGCCCGATGTAAAATGTGCTAAATAGAGTTGTTGTGTGGTCTGAAAGTTGCGGATTATCCGCCAAATAGTATATCGAATAATCCGATTAAAATATCGGATAATCCGTATCCGTCGGATATCGTTGATACCATATCCGCATCCGCATCCGCATGACAAAATCCGCATCCGGTCGGATATCTAAAAATCCTTACCATATTCTCACATCGGACGGATTCGGAGCGGATCGGACCGGATAATATCCGCTCCGTTTTCACCCCTGGTTCAAGGGGAATTGCTTATTTCATCCTATTTTGAATGTTATCTACTAATTTGATCCTATATTTTTTTAGTTTGCTTATTTGATCATATTTTTCAAAATCGAAGATGAAAGCTAACTCTATTCTGTTAAGACAACTTAACAATGTTAACTAAGAGGTAAATGGTATATTTTGCCCTTGTTTATTTGACCCTGTTATATCAAGACGGCCATATGTTCAGATCTTTTGATATATTTGTAACGAACTTGACATATCTTTCACATTTGACACAAGTTTGATAGATTTAGCTTCAATCTGCTAAAATCAAATCAATTTGAAAATTTTGAAAGATTTTCGGCAAAACGAAATAAACAAAATTTGGCACCAAATTTGATATATTCGAATCAATTTGATAGAAATTTGACACAATAAAGTAAACTCTACCGGCTTCGAGCGGTGGTGCAAGATCCTACGGCTTCGCCACCGACGGCGTGAACCACGTCCGTGTTAGCTCCGAGGTGCAGCGGTAGGCGGCCATGGCGCCGCCGTCCCCTCCCTCCACATGTCAGCGTTGTCGCCACTGTCACCGCCGCAACTGCCTCACCTTCGTGCGCCTGAGCCACCGCCACCTCCCTCCCTTCGTGGCGCAACAGCAGGCGTAGGTGGCCATGCGCGCCACCGCCCCTCCTCCCTCCGCGCTGCCACATGCGCGGCTGGCACCTCCTCCCTCCGCGCCGGTGCCGTTGCTACCAGCCCCTCCTCCGCGCGTCAGTGCCGCTGCCGCTGCTGTTTCACCCTCTGCACGCCTGCGTCGCCGATCCATGCACCTGCGCCGCTGCTCGTGCTGAGCCACCGAGAGAGACGCAAGAGCGAGAGAGGGGGGAGAGAGATATAATGTCGGTTGTGAGGTAGGGAGATGGATAAGTTTAAAGGGAGGGTATTTTTGTCAGTTGAAATAATAAATAGATTTTTTCTTTTCCTAAATAAAACACTAATGGTGTATTGTAAATACGGTCAAACAGTTGGTTCAATTTTGAAAAGCAGGTTCAAATAAGCAAACTAGAAATAGCAAGATCAAATTAGTAGTTATCCTTCGAAACATGGTAAATAAGCAATTGCTCCTTAAACTTTCATGTCAGAATTTTGAAAATTTTGTCTATCGTACTCTCCGATATGAAATTATTTTGGCCAAATTTTTTTGATTTTTTTCATAACTTTTGTGAATTTGGAAATATTTATTCAAATATTTTGTTCCAAATTTCAAACTAGTTTAGACCGAAATAACTGAAATTTCAGTCATATTATACCCCCAATAAAAATGTAAAAAAAGATAATTTGGGCTTTTCTTTCAACTGACAAAGCAATAATAATTTATTTATTGCACAAAACACAAACATGCCTGCATTCACGGACGGTCTAACATACGCTGGAGGGGCGATATGGCGATACATGTTATCATCCAACGGTTGAAAATGTAAGTGCAATCACATTTTTTTTTAAACTTGGATGACATTAGGCAGACCTTTTTATATTCATCTCAAGAGAAAAAAAAAGGAGGTTTTACATTAAGATAAAAATTTCAGCCCGACCCACGTATGATGACTTTGGACCTGGAAAAGCCCATCCAGAAGACAAAAATGGCCTCAAGCCCAATGACCCAAAACCTGACAACGAGGATGATAGTTTAGAAAGACAAAAAGAAAAGCATGACTAATCATTATTTTTAACTTTTAAATTTAAATTAAAAATAAACCTTTCCAAAACTTATTTTTCAAAATTTCAACATTTTAACCCTATCATCCCGGCAAACGTGACAAAACAGTAAAACAATATTATAACATCACCCGCAGCGAGCGTGACAGTCCTGTCATGGCTTCAGGGCAGCGTAACAAAACAAAGCTTCTATACCATCCGGACCGTATAGCCAAATAACATTGTTTTATCACTTGACCTCAAAATGTTTAGCTCTTGAAAATAACTTTTTAAAATGTTTATTTTAAAATTAAAAAATCAAAAAGGTTTATAAAAAATAAAAATAAAAAAAATTCTTACGGTGGTAAAGGCCGATCAGCCCGCCGCAGGCGCAGGTGCCGCTTAAGCCGCTAATGGCGTTCCGCTTCCGCTCTCCATCCCAATTCCACCGACGGACGCGAAGCCCATCTCCTCTCCCCTCCTCTGCTCTGCTCGATCGCGGCCGTTTCGCTTCGATCGTCGTCGTCGATACCCTAGCAGGTAGCCGACCGACGATCAATCCAGTCCAGCTGCTTTTCTTCCATCCAGCGTACTGATGATCATGATCTGATCCAATATGTGCTCGTGCTGTCATTTTCTTTTCTCTTCTCTTGATCGTGGGGAGAGAGAATCTGGGCTGAGCTGGGCAGTGCGCTGCTTCTTGAATTCGAATGCCCTGAAGATCAAATTATTTTTCTGTTTCGTTCCATTTTTTCCTATTTGCTGGTTTTGATAGAATCACATATAGAGGAGATGTCGACGCAATTGTCTTTTGTTTATAAAACGGTAAAAAAGAAGGGGAAAAAACGAAGGAAGACGCATGTAGAAGATAACAAATGCGATCCATTCTCATCAATGGCCGATGGGGATTACGGGATTAGTTTGTGTAGGTTTATAAATGCACGGTTTTATCAGCATTGTGATTTGTCAGAACAATGCGAGGTACTCGATCGACAGAGCTTAGCGGCAGGATTCTAAGATTAAGGACAATGATTTCTCCGTATTATTTTTTATTTACTTGCATCCGTCATGCATCCATTTCGATTTGTGAAGCTCCATTGAGAAGGCTGGAATTTGACAATAACCTGCAGGAGCCGGAAACTGTTGATTTTCCAAACTCATTATCATTGGCCTCTCACGTTTCCATGGAAATATTTTGCTGGCTGCCATCTTAATTTATTAGTAGTCTCCTTGGATCAGGTGGAGCTTGCTTGTTTTGTTTACGTCCATCCTTGCTATACAAATTTAAGATGGGGGCACCTTGTGTATGCTTGAATTCACATGATCATAGATTTCGAAATAGTCGAATGTCCGGGCTGAACATCTGGTTCTGAGGGTTAATTACAACATTTCTTTGAGATCAGCTCAAATGGGTCGTTTCATACAACAGTATAGTAACTTCGTATATCTTTTGACCGCTTCCTGTTGTGATTATGTAATCTTGTATTCTTGTTGATGTTTTCATTTTACTGTGTATTTAATATTTTACCAATTACCATTGGTGCGCTTGTCAGTTTTGTCGTTCATATTTCACCTCTGAACATTTTCGACAGGAAATTGTTTGTGAAATCTGATATGTTAACTCTTCAATCTGTATCACAGCATGTCATCTTCGGATAGCCCAAAAGTGACCGAAAGGAAAGCTGACAAGGACCATGACGACAATAATGATGGAGAGGGGGGAGGTTTCTTCGACAAGGTAAAGGATTTCATTCAAGACATTGGTGAAAAGATTGAAGATGCAGTAAGCTTTGGAAAGCCTACTGCTGATGTTACCGGGATCCACATACCTCACATCAGCCTTGAGAAGGTAGAGCTGATTGCTGATGTTCTCATCACCAACCCAAACCCCGTGCCGATCCCTCTCGTCGACATCGAATACTTGATCGAAAGCGAAGAGAGAAAGCTCATGTCTGGGACAATCCCTGATTCTGGAACCATACATGCTCATGGTTCAGAGACAGTGAAAATCCCTCTGCTACTTATTTATGATGACATCAAGAGTACATATGGGGACATCAAGCCTGGGAGTATCATTCCATACAAGATCAGAGTTGTGCTTCATATAGATATCCCGGTCATCGGAAGGATTTCTATACCTCTGGAGAAAAATGGTGAGATCCCAGTGCCTTACAGACCAGACGTTAATGTGAGTAAGATCAAGTTTGAGCAGTTCTCCTTTGAGGAAGCAACCGCAACACTCCATTTGAATCTTGACAACAAAAATGACTTTGACCTGGGACTGAATTCTATGGATTATGAAGTGTGGCTCTCTAATGTGAGCATTGCTTCTGCTGAGATGAAAGAAACTACAAATATTAAGAAGCAGGAGGTAACAACCATGAATTTACCAATCAGCTTCAGGCCCAAGGATTTTGGCTCTGCTATGTGGGATATGATAAGGGGAAAGGGAACTGGTTACACCATAAAGGGGCACATTGATGTCAATACTCCTTTTGGACACATGAAAATACCTATATGCAAAGAGGGTGGAACTACCCGCCTTAAGAAGGGAGACGATGATGACGACGACGATGACCAGGTATTTGTTTCATAGTTTCCTTTGTTGTTCCTCTGCACAATAATATATCACTACTAGGATCGTGGTAAACATTGGTTGACCTAGGATTTTGTTGGGCAGATGACTCAAACCACATTGTCGTTAGCTCTATATTTTTATATAATGGAACTACAAGTTAGTTTTAATCTCTGCACCAGCTAAGAATGCTATGATTGAATGTTGATGTATAGAGTTTTTTTATACATGGCTCCACCACTGCACTAATGGTGCTTCCCCATGTAACTCTATATTCTTGCAATTTTATTCCACAGGAGTTTTTATAGAAGTTTTGTATACTAGAATTTGGTGGAACAATATGAAATTTGCTAGTATTTTTTAGTGAATCGATGATCCTACGTACACATATACGATGCTATTATGAAATTTACTATTAGTACAAAAAATATTATATACGATAACAGGATCTATATATATATTTGCACATATGTTACACAATCTAGAGGTATAACGTTTTTCAAAACCTTCTTGAAACCATACAAAGTGTGAAGTCCAACGGGGATTTATTACTTCTTTAGTTTACTATTACTCAGATTGGCCAGCATAATTCAATGGATGAATGTTTTGTGCAGGAGTAAAAGGTGATAGGGATAGAGAATTTTCTGGAGCAGAAATTCTTTCAAGAGTGAGCCCTTTGTATATGCTAGCCAAGTTATTATCTCTGCTTACACTATCTGATGAACATGCAAGCTTAAACCTTGTATTCCACCATCTTTTTTTTTTCTGTATTTCTGGTCTTGTAACTATGCTCTTGTTGGTAGTTCATTTGTCTGATGACAACATGGGCTGAAGAATATCCAAATTTTGTCAACAATGCAAACGTTATTCTGCATCGAGTTTTATCTGCTACTATCCAATGTATTTGTTTAGAGTCTCGTGCTATGTTTCACACATGTTCTGTGTCATAAAGAGAAGACTATCTATAATCTTGGTTATTTGCTAGCGGACACCGCACCTAACTATTTATTTAGTATTTTAGTGCTGACTAGGCGAGGGCGGGTCTACTTTTTGACACGTCATGACCAAATTGCCCCCATCTCTCATTCAATCTGATCCCCTCAACCAGCTCCTTCCTCCCCTCACCCACTGACCGGTGCCGTTCTCCTGCCCTTACCCCCAGTCGCCCCCCCCCCCCCCGCCCAAACTGCCAGCGCTTTTCTCCCCTTCCACCTTCTCTGCTCTAAGGTCAGGGCAGCGCCGCTTGAAGGCAGGTCTATGGAGGGGAGCAGCCGCACGCCACCACCTCCAACTCCATCGCCCGTGGCTCCGTGGTGGAGGTAGAGGCCCTCGGCATTGATGACGCGCGCACAATGCTTGCCGCCTCGCCCCTTAGCGCACGCCGGGTAGCCAAGCGAGGGAGCTGGGCCACGCCGCCGCACGCGCATGTTGAAGGGAGACGGGTCACGCCGCTGCAGTGGAGGTGGAGGAGAGGCGAGGTGGGAGGACCGTGGTGGTCGCCGGTGGCGAGCGGAGGTGCTATTGCGGCTGGAGTGTGAGAGGGAGTGAGATGTGGGGGAAGAATATGACAAGTCGACCCGGGGCATTTTTGACCTTTCATGTTGTTTATCTCTCCTATTCAATCGGAATTTAATATTTTAGTGTATGCGGTGCCCATCAACAAATAACCACATTTTGAGAGTGTCTTCCCCTAAAGATCGACTTTTGACGTGTCCTAGAGTTAAAACCACAAATTGTAGTGTCCTACAACAATAATTGTCTTTTCTTTTTGTAAAATTGGTTTCACGTCATTGAAAGTTTTCGAATGTTGGTTTGCACCATCGAAAGGTTCCGTTGCACTTTAATACTTGGAAACTTTCGATGCCGTGGAACCTATTTTACCTATTTTTTATTTATTGATTCCCAAAGCTATTCACATAACGACTCATGGAGACATGGAGTGTGCTAGGTAGCACATCACGTCGGGTCCCATCATGCAGTGGAGGCAAGAATCATGGCCTCCACAGCGGCGACCGCGCCGGTGGGATAGGGAGGGAGGCTGCGCCTTGCACGAGCTCGAGGATGGGAGGGGCCGGCTGAGAGAGATGCATGTGATGACAAGTACCACACAAGCTTGCGACTCTCCGGAGAGAAGGGTGGGGCGATGGAAGGATGTAACACCCTAAAAATTGGACCGACAAAAATCTAAACTCTAAAAATATGGGCCTTCAAAAACTTTTTGAATAAATTGCATCATGCCGATTTTGTTCGATTATTTTATTGGATTTGATTTCGGAGTTTATAAATCGCGAATAATGGATAATTGATTAGGAACAAACCCTAAAAGTAAATTGACAAAGTAAATAATTAAAGTGCAATATAAAATAAGATTTGGCGAGGATAGAAATGAGTAAAATATTATTACAACCATATTTGTATCAATTAAATTTAAAAGTAATGGAATAAGAATTAACTCTAATTAAATTCAAGAAAATTATATAAAAATAAAATATGGGTAAAATTAATCAAGGGTGGATCCATTAGTGGGAATAACACAAATATTAAGTGAACTTTATTTGTACAAAATTTAAGTTTATCGAACCAAGTTTAAATAAATAAATAGGCTTAAATCGGGTTAAATGGACAACGTCACTATTCATTGCCCCATAGGTGTTCGATTGCGGTCTAGCCCTAAAACCCCTCCCCCTGTCCCGCGCGTGGCCGCCCCGAGCCCCGTGCCACCGCTGCCACGCCGTCGCCGTCGCTGCCTCGCGCCCCGCGCCGTCGCGTCGCCGTCGGTCGTCCCGCGCCGCTGCCGTCTGCCGTGCCGCGCCGCGTGCCGTCACCGTCGCGGTCGCGTCGCCGTCGCCGTCGCTGTCGCGTTGCCTCGCGTCCCGCACCCGCCGCGCCGCCGTCGCGTCGTCGCCTCGCGTCCCACGCCGCGCCACCTCCGTCGCGTCGCCGCTGCCGCGCCGCGAGCCGTCGCCGTCGCGTCTTGTCGCCGCTGCCGCGCCGCTGCCGCGCCGTGGCCATCGCCGTCGTGTCGCGCCGTCGCGTCGACGCGCGCCGTCACCATCGCCGCTGCCGCGCCGTGCCGCCGTCGTTTCGAGCCCCGTGCGCCGCCGTCACATCATCATTAGGCCGGCCATTTGCCCCCAAAGTCCTATAAAAGCCCCCCCTTCATCTCCAAACCTCCCCACATCATTTCCCCAATTTTCCCCCCTCCTCCCCATCTCAACCGCGCCACCGTCGCCCTTTTAGGCCGTGCCGAGTTCCCCGCCGCCGTCGCAGCCGCCATGCGCTGCCGCCGTTGCCGTTGCCGCCGGTAAGCCGTGCCGCCGCCGCCTTTTTCCCTTTCCCCAGCCGGTCTCGGTAGGCAGAAAGAGGGAGAGAGGGAGAAGGAGCCGAGGGAGAAAGGGGCCGGGAGGGAAAGAAAAGAAAAAGAGGAAAAGAAAGAGAGGAGAGGAAAAGAAAAGAAAAGAAAAGAAAAGAAAAGAGAGAGAGAGAGAAAAGAAAAGAAAAGAAAAGAGAGAGGGAGAGAAAAGAAAGGAAAAATTAGGGGGAGATTTAAAATATTTAAAAATATTAGAATTTAATTATAGGATTAATGAAAATATAATTAGATGAATTCTTATAGATTGTTATAGATTAATTCTTAGTCATCTCCATAAGGAATCAATTTCGCGGTAGTAATTTAGATATAATTAAGAACTAAATAATTAGATGAAGTCTAGGACGTAATTTTAAACCACAAAATTTCTTAGGAAACGCAAAACATCTTAGGAGGAGGAAAAATTCCACTTCGCGAATAAAATAGCCGATATAGAATTCACCTCTCGCGCTCGTTTTTCAATTCGGTCATTATTTGGATTTTGTTTGAATTCTAATCGAATTCAAATTGTTCTTACGCACGTAACTATAGAGACCGAGCGAGCCGCGGATCCGGGTGAAGGCCAAGACCCGCAAGACCTTGAGCAAGGCAAGTCATCACTATTCTTTGACCACGTTGATCCCAATTGCGAAATTAATTCTTGTTTACAAATAAGATTACATGCAATGATGAACATCCTATTTGTGATTATGCCATGCCTTGTTTATTGTTCACCTTTAAATCCTTGTAACCATGATTACGTATGAATCCCTAGTCAATTATGACAATTGCTTAGAAATGCTACTTTAGCATCTTGCATACTCATATTTATCAAATATTATATGCTTGGGCAATTACCTTTGGGAAGGTAATTGAGATGCGGCATGTGGAGACATGAGCGCCACATTGCCATGATAATGATGACATGAAAGGAATTAAACATTTGTTTTAGACCGGGGCGGACGGTGGATTTGGGTGATATCCGGGAAAGGCTAGTACCGTCCCCGGTCAATTAAGGACCGAGCCATGAAGTTAAGCATGAAACGACCCCGTACGACCACACTTCTTGAATGGGGATAGACCTAGCGGAATAAATAGCCGAGCGGAGGCAATATCCATGCATAGTGGTTTCTCATGTGTAAGGCAGGGGCTCTACAATGGTGTCGCCATTGTTAGGACTGTCGTGTGTTGAGTGGAACCTAATTATAACTTAATTCATGGGTGTAAATCTTCCCTTCCCGGGTGCGCCAGAACTCCTCTCACTGCTAGAAACTGTGTACGCCTAGAGTGCATGAGGATGCAAAAGTTCATGGAGCGGGTACTGCCAATGCGAGGTTATCGAAAAGCTTTGCCGTGACGTGTCTCATGTGTTAAGACAAGGCTCATGTGTTGGGCAGTCACGGAGTGTGGGTAAAGTGTACATCCACTGCAGTGTGAGTAAACCAAATCTATTCGAATAGCCGTGCTCGCGGTTATTGAGCACCGGGACATGTATTACTCTTGGCTAGTCTCTAAATTCTTAACTTATGTGGGATGGGTTATTGCATGATGAATTTTTATGCTGTTGGAGCCACTTCCTGAGATGGGGGAAGGTGGGCATCCTCAGAAAACCATAACGACTCAACGGCGGAAAGCTATCCTTGGGATCACAATGGATGGTGGACAGAACCGTCGTTGTTTTAATACAAACACTGGTACTAAAGTTTGATCAGTCAATGCTAGGTCTTAGGCTTGTGAAAAGAATTACAAAATTTGCTTTGCGCAAAAAAAACCATAGCCATCCTTTGAAATACCCTATCATATGCATTGTTGATGTGGTGGCTTGCTGAGTACGGTTGGTACTCACCCTTGCAAATATAAAATTAATCAGAAGCGGGAGATGAAGCTCCGGAGGATCCCTATGCCTACTACCAGGAGGGAGATGAAGACGATGGTGCTCAGTAGGTCTTAGTACGGTCGTTGCCTGTGGCAATGGCATGCCGCTGCCTTAATTCCGCTGCCTTATCTATTTCTGCTTTTGGATGTATTCCGGACCACTCGGTCCGATAATTTAAGACAATGCCTGCGGGCTTATGATGTAATAATTAGCACTAGACTCTCATGTATGTGCATCTGGTATTTCAGCTATGAACTCGTGTGTACCAGACTACTTGATCCAGGGAAATGGTACTGTTTACACGAATGATTCCTGTTATAAAAACGGGGGTCCACAGAGCTGGTATCAGAGCCATACGACTGTAGGAAAGACCAAAAAGGCGCCCCACCCCTTTCCTAAGATGGCCAAGGGAGAAATTCCTATTTAGCAACACTTTCAAAAATAAAAATGCTATGTTTACAAAACTTTATACGATTTTACACCTTACTCTTAACTATTTTCTTCACAAAACCAGTTTTTACTCTCAACTGACTTTGGGTTTTTCTTAAACTTAGATGGCAGATCAGGATTCACCCGCTACCTGGGAGTTGGGCTTACCCCGCTCAGAGGGGTATGTCGTTGAGCTGCATTGAATGATGAGGCGTCTGCGGTACTCCGGATTTCCGACCTTCCGAGTGAGACAGTGTGGATCA